TGCTAGTAGAGGCCCATCATCGCCCATCATTGCTCACTTTAATGATAAACTCCTCCGTTATTTGGTCAAAATATGACCAGAAATCTCCAGAATCCTCCGAGAGTCTGAGACTCCTTTAACTATAGCAGTTTGTAGTAACTATTTTTTTCATGTAACAAAACACTCAATAGACCATTTTTCGCGATTGTCTATGTTACATTAAATTCCTTCTTATATGCGTATTTAGATCAAAACTGAACACTAAAATTATAACAGTGAAAACAACTAACAACAAGAAATTACAAAAAAAAACATAAATAACAAAAAAATACAAGAGATAATTAAAATAATTAACAAAAATAAACTAATTAAAAAGTTGGCACTAAAATTGCTCTCAAGTGTACGGTAGTCGAATGATACGCGGGAACCCAATAGACGACGACCATCGACTGACTAACCAATCACGTTGAGCGTCAGCGTGGTCAACGTCATATCGACCAATAAAAAGTGTGCTCACGACTCATGCCGGGGATTATAAATGAGTTATCTAACAGCCGTACGAACAGGGAATGGCGGGTCCCCGGCTCTGACGGCTAACTCGTATCGTTCAATGTTCTGGTCGGTGAGAACCGACGGAATAATCTCAATAAACCTACAAATAAAGAATCCAAAAACAATTTTGAAAAGAAAATATTTATAATAGGCAGTCAACAATGAGTCGGGCTTTCGTCGCATTTAATAATTTCAAGACAATAATCAAGATATAATAAATATAATATCTCATCAATTACTAAGCCTTATGCTACGGCAGAAGATATATTAAAGTCTTGTTATAAACTTCAGCCGAACGAATCAAACTATGTTATACTGTGTGTTGGTGAAAATGACACAAATCCTACGAAACTTAGTATTGAACTTTCATCTGCTTTTTTTACGTTCTATATGCGTAATTTAAATATTATATTATTAAGCATAAATAAAATCAATTATCTTAATACAGTTAAATTAAATCAAACACTAAAAATAATATGTAATAACGTGAATAATTGTAATTTTATATATTTATCAAGTAGATTACTAAGTAAGAAACAATATTTTGACAAACTTTTATATATAATTAATTTGTTAATAGACTCAAAAGATTATTCGAATAAGTTTTTAAAGTTCAAAACATCAAAAACCATCTCGTCTACTAGTAATTTGCTTGTTTAATTATCATAACATAAAATCAAAATAATTATTAAAAAATTATATTAGCATTGCAATAATGACACCATAAATAATCGATCGAAAAAACATTAAACCAAATTAATGAGATGTGCGAGGCAACAGTTTTTATTTTATCACAACTAATGATAACGGATTTACCTGTTTTTATTTTTATCTTTTGTACCTTTTTGTGCAAAAATGTTCCCATGTTTTTGGGTAAGGAGATGAGCATCCCCTACTAAAGGGTATTTGAATTGTGTTTTATATCAAGTGTCTAAAGTAGAGAATATAGACATTGTCTGGACCGGGACCATTCCTTGGCGCCCGTAATCTTAGTCATCAACCACTTTCTTTTGAACGAACGTTTAAGGTTCTAAATTCAACTTCTTATCAGGGGTCACGCCAAACGCGTTGATTCCCGAACCTAACGAGGTGTGGTATAGGAAAAGGGCCAGTAACTTGATCACCGTTAAGGGCGTGAGATGAAGAGCCCGGCCGTACGTTTCAGTACTCGAGACTCAAATTTGGGCTACTTACTTAGTTCAACTCCCTCTGATGCAGCTCCTGCTTTAAACTGCCAAAAGGCTGCCAAAATTTCTTATCAACATCGTTTAAAGAACCGTGACGGGACTATATTACATTAAAGAATACCATATTATTATTATGGTTATTTAACGTGTAATAAAAATAGGTATTGAAGATGGATTCGACCAAATACCATGTTACCAACGTAACTATCCCTCGAATAATTTTACTCTTTGGACTTTCTCTCTGATAACTTTGTTTGCATTTTTCCAACACAAACGTGGATTAGCCAATACTGTGTATTGTTACTGTAGGGTTTGTGAATTAATAACAACAGTGACATTTGATAATTAGCTGTTGCCGGTGACTTTAGTTGTTAACATATATGGGTAGAAAAGAACATCCATAAGTATTATAGACAATGAACTCGACAACCCTATTGAATTTAATTGTTTATCAAACCTCAGTAATATAAAGCCAAACTTGTTGGTAATTACAATCTTATACATGTTATCAAATAGTTTATTTTTTTAAATATTAGCTGTAAACGCACTTACTTATGGAATATTATGCCACTCTCCTTTTGGTAACGAGTTTACCAAATTACGCACACTCTCATTATTACTAAAAATAACACTAATCATCACTAAAACTATCATATAACTAAAATCAAACACATTCAAATTACAAAAAATCCTTTCTATTTTTGTTTAAAAGTTTAAAATACAGAAATACGATTTAAACAACACAACAGAATTTAGTATATTATGTCAATTTTAATACCCAGTACTAACAAAGACAGTGGTCCTTTAAATCTGCACAAACATTTTGCAGGGTATAGCCAGTCCAGCGTACTTGTATATATAAAGTGCTTACTCTACATAATATATGTTCTTTGGGAATTATCGTCGAAATAATAGCTGGGAATCCTTGGAAATGATTTTAGCGTATAAGGTATTTATTATTTATGCGCGGAACAAAGCCCAGATAGAGATAGAACATAAATACTTTGCTCAAGTTAAATACATGTGGTATTTGTTTAGCTAATAGCACATAAAAGAAGATCAATCACACTTGTTGGTTTTTATGTAGATTTAGAACACTGAAATAATTTTTGAAATCGGTTGAAGAGCGAAATAAAGTGGTTTTAATAAAGTATCTCAAAAACACATTCGACAAACGCTTCGGTCATTACGTCATGTGTCGCATTGATGCGAAAATAAGTTAAAATATGATGCAAGTAAGTTCTTCGATGTATGAGAATATGTCAAAGGGTTCATACCTCTTAAAATCGATACACGATGCTGATAAGAGATCTCAATTCCAAACTAGGCACAAGAAAAGATGATGAAGATTAAAATCTAATAGAGCAATAACTGGCTGGCTTTATGGAGGATGGCTGGATGATTTTCTACCTCTCTGTGATGAATCCTTTCTTTAAGAAACAGCCGCAGTGAAAGTCAACTTGGATAAGCTCCAACGGTTCTACGAAAAATGAAATTGACTTCATTCTGACGACTCAAGGGCAACTAATTCAGTGAAAACTGGCAGCGAACAAATTAATCAACCTAGAGAGATTCCTCTATCTAATAAAAATGTCCCGACATTCTCGTCAACTGATCTAGATTTGTGATGGCTTTCAGCTCGGGCAAATCGAGAAAATCGAGAAAATTGTTTCTAGTACCTAAACGACGATATCAAGATTATTAGAGTGGTTTGCACTATTCAAAAGGCCTTAGTCCAGCTCAAAATCTGCCGTATCAATATCATTCCGAAATATGGGAAAGTTTCCATATGATATTTTAAGTTTCCATGAGATTTCTATGTGATCTTCGTATTGTGTAATCTCATAATAAACGAGGGTTAGGACTTTACACCGGTGACGTGACGTGACGGCTACACCTTGAAAACGGGCAATATCGCGGGGCTAATAACTATAGTCAACCAAATCTAAGAAATATCTTTTGACGTTTCACATTAATCATTCAGCAATAACTTTGCACCAGCGTACTCACACGATTTAAAATAACCATTTACGTAAATCCGAAGAATTATAAAGTTATCTATATTTCATTACAAAGTGTATAGTTTTTTATCACTAATTTAAATTTGAATCTTTTAAACAAAGCAAAATATTAAGAAATAAGCAGTATCAACTTTTTGTACTTGACGTCGTTTCAATGATATGTTGCTATGTACATTACCGTAGTGTTTGAATGATTAAAATAAATTGTTATGCGAATAATCGGCAAAAATATTCCAATAATCGGTAAAAATATTCTATCGAATCATTCGTTTTTTGATGTATTATTTGTTTAATTTAATTTTTTTAAAATTTCTTAAATTACGTGAATCATTAATAAAACAAGTTTATTCTTTTTAATTTGTCAACGTAAATTTGTGTAGGCAAAAAAACTCATATACAAGGCCGCGATATAAAAACCACTACGTAATTTCAATATTCCGCCATTTCGGGAGCTTAGCGTAGTTAGTAGCTTAGCGAGCTGTGCGTAATTTTGTGTTTGTCTTCTTATTTTGTGACTCGGCTTTAACTTTTTGGACTGTTTCTTTAATATTCGTTGAAGCATGTGCCCATTTCGCAAAAGAAAAATTGGGCAAAAGTGGTAGAAAAAACAAAAAAATATTATGGATGACTTTGAAAGAGACATTTATTTTGATTGCATTATTAATCTAACAATGAAAGCTCAACTATTTGTACTGATAGTGATTGAATAAATTTATTTTTACCTTAGTTATAATCTTAAATTTTTATAACTGTCCCTCTAGAAATAAGCAGTACTTAACTAACAACAAATACGTAGAAACTGATAAATCTTGTGTTTTAAATTACCTGTATTAAATTTATTCTGGTATTATTAAAACTAAACAGTAAATGATTACCAACTCTAAATAATCGATATCGATTTTTTTAAGAATCGAATATTGTACGTTCCCATTTTTTGGTTAGCATGCCTGGTGCAATAACTCTGACAGCTGTCAAAATGTTTTTCTTAGTTGACTTAGTTGACTATAGTTATCAATATGCGGTTGTTAAATTAATTATATCATTGCGTTTTGTATTTTTTATTTATATTATTACAATTATTCTAATCACTTTATTATTTGTACTCGTTTATAAAAATCATTATTTCAGAGATAATTAAAAGCTTATGAAATATCAAAGAAGTTAAACCGCAGACATAATCCATAAATTATTGAATTATATCTTTAAAAGAAAAAACTAAACATAATAATATATACATTTTTGTTAAACTACATTTAAATATTTATTCTTGATTCAGACTAAAGTACTTCGCTTTAGCTATTTCTAATAAAGAGTTGTTCATTTTATCACCAGTCTCCCTGACCATAGAACTGAATTTACTATTTGGATTCAATAAAAGACGATATGGATAATCAAATTCAATGACTTCGCCTTCATCCATTACTAGTACTCGGTCTGAATCCATGATGGTGTTGAGTCGATGGGCAATAGTGATCACCGTACACGTTGCAAATTCGCGCCGAATCGTCTTTTGTATCAAGCCGTCAGTTCTGAAAAACATTATATTAAATCATAAAATATCTACTATAATTCTAGTAAAATCAAGATGCTATGTTAATGTTGGAAATGTAATATTCACAATCATTTTTCATTATTTATTTTTTAATTTTGTCTTCTCGTAGAGGTTTTTATATTTACTTTATGTACTTTTACTGTGTGAATAATTCACTATATATACTATATAGTGCTAGTGGGCCACTTGTAAAGTCGAACCAGATCACATTTCCCATTAAAACAAACAAATAGAACTCCATCCTCTATATTATATTATGGATAAAACTATAAATGATTATTATTAAATCATAACTAATTAAACCAATAATCTAACAAAAAAATATTAAATCATAATATCTTTGTTAAAATAACGCCTGATTCGATCAATAATCTGACAAAAACTATCTTAATTTTCTTTTTGAATTCAGATTGTTTAAGTTGTAAAATTAAATAAGCCTATTACTGTGTTATGATTGCGGCACCATTGGGTCCGTTCTGCAAGAGTAGGACCACACGTTTACAGAATACCATAATACTATGGATAAAATACCTATAGTATAGGTCTTTGATCCACAGGTCCTAGCATCCACTTACCTTAATTTGGACTATGAGCTCGTTTATCACTTTACTTATATAAAAATTTCTTTACCAAAATGTGTTCATAAAATTTTATGTCGTTTATAAATTAAATATTAGACAGACGAAATAGACTGACTGACTGACTCATCACGATATATCTGAAACTAATTTTGTATAGTCACTCATTTCGCAATGTAGAAGCTCACTAAGAACAGACTTTACGATAGATAGTCCAATAACAAAAATATCTTGATTTTTTATATCTATTATGGTGCGCCCAGCGAAGCGAGCTAGTAATTTATAACAGTATTTTACTTGATTAGTATTTTATACTTACTGAGGATCTACGTTAGCAGTCGCCTCATCCATAACAAGAAGTTTATTGGAACGTAGTATTGCTCTTGCTAAACACACCAGTTGACGCTGGCCAACCGAAAAATTAGCACCACCTTCCGAAACCTTAAAGTCAAGAGCAGGAATCGCTTCTTTAAGTTCAACCTAAAATTCACATTTTTAAATTAGTATTAGTTACTTTATTACATGGACACATTATAATAAGTACTTGTCCTCTATAGATCATATCAGTTTCTATTTACTCTTGTTTCTACTTTCGTATTTAATAAAAGATCAAAAGCAAATCATATTTAATACATATGGAGCTTTCACTTTTCTCCTTTTGTTAGATGATAATTAAACTAATTTAAGTAGTATTGATGCTAGTAAAACCTTTTGAAAAAAATAATTACGACGAACCTGCTCTAACGCTCTCCAAATTTCATCGTCGTTGTAATTATTGAATGGATCCAAATTGTACCTCAGCGATGCAGAAAATAGAACTGGTTCTTGAGGAATAATGGAAATTTGCGATCTCAAATTCTGAAAAATCATTTCAAAATTTCGGTCATAGTAATTATTTTTTAGAGAAATATAATCAAAAGAAAATGTATATACCGCTTTAGCAATTCCAGCCGTGTCAATGCCATCGATTTTAATAATGCCTTCTATATCATACAAACGAAATAGTGCTGATATTAATGAAGATTTGCCAGCTCCCGTTCTACCTACTACACCTACCTAATAAAAGAATTAAATATTAATTAACATCATACGCATTTAGTTCACTGCACATTACACTATTTTACTATCGTCACCCACTTTCCAACCGCTTTCTAATACGAAGGTCAAATTTTTCAACACATACGGATCATCGGGATTATATTTCATGCACACATTATCAAATTCTATTCTACCTTCTGAAGGCCAATCTTGTGGTGTGGTTGTGGCTGCAAAAGAATATTATAGTTAATTAATAAAACAGGAACAGGCACATAATTAGATGATAATAAATAAAAGGAGTGGAAGATATATATATATAATATATATATATATATATATATATATATATATATATATTTATCTTATATTTGTTGTTACTAAATAATTACAAGGACATAACCCATGTTTTATACATTCTGGTCCAAATGTTAAAGTGCCAGCCAAAAGGGTAGGTTGGGGAATGGTTTGAATGAAATTAGTTAAGTATCTTCCTAATAGCATGGGATGTGCCAGCCGGGACTGGCAGAGACTTGTGTTTAAAAAAATATTTTCGCTCTTTTGCAAATACATATTCTTACCATCAAAAATCGTGATCGTTTTTCTTTTATCTTCTGAATTCAAGGAGCCATGTACCCACTTAACTGCCATTCAATTCCATAATTAAGCTTCGATAAGTTTAACAACGAAGTGCGTACCTATATAACATTATTCGTAATATTGTTCGTGTGTGGATACTTATAGAATGTTGTATGTATACATATCATATAAAACATTAATACATTTCACGACAGAAGATTTTTCACGTGACATTTCGTACGTGGTAGAGCCACGCTGCAGCTATATTATGGTTGTAGCACGAAAGGATCGGCTCGACCGGGGAAGAACACGCTCACACAGAATACCAGTGTAAAATATCAGCTTAGTACGGATTTATTACGTACGGTGAGTGTAGAGATCCGGTGACCCCATTTTTACTGGAAACGAGGCATTCCCTTTTAGTCCTCAGTGGTGACAACGCATCTGCGTTTTGATTCTTAATGGAGTATAAATGTAGATGTCTATGGTCCACAGCATCCGCTTACCATCAGGTAGACTGCGTGCTCATTTGTCACCCTTATTCTATAAAACTAAGCCTCAGTCTACCGAAAATTTAGTGGTTTAGTGTTGCCATTGAAAGTTCATATACATAATGTAATAAAACACACAGGCGCACAACATATATGGCATGAAAAATATTCCACAATAGTGTAGCCATAATACCGAGAGTTTTAGACAATAACGAAACATTTTAATAATAGCAAATTCTCACGCCCAGTTTCCATGTTCTCCTCAATTTGTAGCTTAGAATATTCAAGCACTCTCTCGACTGAAGTCATTTGTCCTAAAAGATCAGCTGTGATTCGAGCAGCCATTTGTAGCACCATAGTAAGTACCATAGATTGACTCACTGCTAAACCAACGCTTCCCACGGGTATGATATCACCTATAAATTTATTGAGGTAAAAATAATATTTCATTGTTGCTTTCAGTTTAATAATATTTTTAAATATTTAAAATTAAATTTAAAAGGTTATAAAAATATATATAATATTAAAAAATCTAATTTAAAAATGATAATAACTAAAAACAAAATACTAAAAATTTTACTACAGTTGCGCCTGACGCGTTTTTTGATGAAAACATAGTTTTCAATATATAATAATTATACCTTTACAATTAAACATTGTTTTCAATAATTACACTTTTAATAAAACAGACTTCAAAATCACTAAAAATAAACAATTTCCACATAACAATTTCTGAAGTCGGTGATGATACATAGTGTATCGAAGAATTAGGAGTAAAAATCCGACTTCAGAAGCTATTACATGGATTTTTTTTTTCAGATTTCAAGTCGGCGATCTATGAAACATCAGTTTATGGTAACAAGTAGAATTTAGTTTAAATAGGTATATTAATATCTTCACCCCCCTTTTTCCACTCTTAGCGATCGATTTTTTCTTTACATTTTACATATGGAACCACCCCTGAGATATTATAATCTAAATGGATTATAATCTTAATATATAAATATTTAGGAAATCATTAAATCAGTAAAACATACAAGTTGAATATACTAAAAGCCTCTCGTTTTTGGAACACACATCGAAAAGAAAAAATTCCAATGATCAGAATCATTTACTTACCAAAATCGAATAAAAGAAAAATTGTTATGATTGTTCCAAGATATATAAGACACAGAATATCCAGGTATAAACCAAATGCGGCAGAACCTCCCAAGTATGTATAAAAAGCGCTTGAATTAAGATCCTAAAACGTATACAAATATATTATTGTAAAATAATTAATTAAAAAAATTTCATTAATTTTCATCTACCTGCGCTTCATCAAACATAGTTAGTAGCCGTTGTTGAGAATTGGAGCTTCGGATCGTAGGTAGTCCAGCAATTGTAGAATTTATCATACTGAACACTGGACTTTTTGCTGCGTAAAAAAGAATATATTTTTTTAGATATGTGCGTGTAGCGGATAATAACAAGAGAGGAGTTATTTAATTATTATAAAATTTATTTATTAATTTAAATTAAACATTGAAAATTGCATCGGAATCAGGGATGTGAGAGCTAAGCCCCAATTTAAAATCACTCTTAATATTACCTTTCTTCATCTTGTAAACAGTGTGATCATTTAAATTTTTATATTAATGAAAATAGGTCCAGACATGAATATCAATCTAGGCACTTATTACACCTGTTTACGCTATGTATATTTTCTGTGCTAAGTTTCACCAAAATTGGACAGTCACTTTCAGAGGAGATCAGAGGAGTCAGGGACATGAGGGCGTTCCTTTCGCCCCAATTATTTAGAATATGAAATTACTGACTTGTTCATCAATTACGCCATAATTTAACTTACTTGTGCCCTCTAATCTTCTCACTGCTTGCGCCGCTGCTAAGTAACATTTCAATAGGAAGAGGAATATTATCAATAATATCAATGTTGGTATGAGAGTCCAAGGAAGTGCTAAAGCATTAAGCACAAGAATGCTTATTACTGATAAATACATTTGTAAAGTTTCTAAGATACTACGAGGTAGTAATTCATCCATAGCACCCATATCTTTTGAGAATCGATTTAAAATTCGACCTGTGAAAAGAATTTTATAGTATTACTCGTTACGTATTTGCATAACGTTCAGTGATTATTTTATCGACTTTATTATATAAAGAAATATATCTTACCAGAGGGATTTATATCAAAAAACCGCATGACCGAACTAATTAAATTCTTAAACACAGAATTATGAAGGTTTTTTGAGGCGCGTGTAGTCATAGTCACGAAAGATATGATTCGTAATTGCGTGATGATGATAATGAACAGAATTATGCTGCCATAAATTATTAGATATTGCCCAGTTGTTAAAATTCCGACCTGTGTGTCCAAACTAGGATCTAAAATCAAGAACATAAGGCAAACATAACATTACAATATTTTCCGCTTATTTGTGGTATATATTTATTAAAATTGACAAACTTACCGGGTTCAATGCCGTCAGGCAAGGATTGTTCATATGAATCAACCTGATTTGTCCTGGAACGAGGGTATTTAATTATTCACTCATTTTGTTAGGACTTTTTTTCTATATAGGAGTCTGTCTGGATAGGTACCAGCTATTTCTTTCTTACCTATTTCTACCGTTACTTAGCACTTAGCTTAGCACAGATACAGCTCTTAGTCCTTAGAAATAACAAGGCATCAGTAACGTTTTTGTTTGAAATTGGTTGCAGGTGTTTATGAACAGCAGTAGCCGCTTACCATCAGGTAGTCTGTAAGTCCTTTTGTTACTTTAGCATTTATTTACGCATTTATTACAAGCGGGAAACAGCAGAGTAATGCTACTAAATCTCGTATGGCCATCAATCACCATTGATACTTTGACAACTTTCGTTTTACAATTTTCAACCGGAAGATACCGCGGTGATGTTGATAGTTAGGTAGCTTGTGAGAATTTATTACTCTGACGCATGAAACTAACCAAATTGGTTATGAGCAAAACTGCATCAAAGTCAAAAAATGAAATAGAATGTTTTTTTAATTCAATTCATTCAAAAAGGATGTTTAAAGCTCTTACGAACATCAGTCTTTAGGATTTACTTTCGACTCTTCTAAAACTTTACTACTTCGTTCGACTTCACTCTAATTAAATTTTGTAGATTAAAAACAGTAACTGAAATGGCTAATAAAAAATTATAATAAGAAAAAAAAATAAGTTAACCGTTTACCAAAGTATCAATTCACTTTAAGACTTTATCATCACGGACCTATAGTATTAGCAGTATTCTATAACAACTACGTTTTTTATAAATGTTTGTTAATTTTTACTTGTTATAAGCCAGTGTTTGACCACAACCCTACCTGGTGATATGTGGCGATGTAGCTCTAGATAGTACAACGAACTCTCTTAGCGTAACAAAAGCCTATTCACTTTTGCTTTGAAGACGCCCAGATTGTATTCAGACGGAAAAATAAACGCCGGCAAATTATTCTACTCCTTTGCTGTACACGTTACAAAACAAGAAGCAAACCGTTTGGTTCTAATGCATGGAATATCGACAACAAAGTGGGGAAGACCTGCTGATCGTCCGGTTGTCCGATGATGGAAAGGAGAGGGAGGAATTTAAATTAAGATCCGTAACGAGGAGAGTATCTCTGAGGAATTGTTCGGATTAATCCCAGCCGCAAAATTTCATGAACGCACTACGCGGCAAACGTCCCGATACCATCCACACCATCTGGATGCTTGGCGGTCCATCACTGTACGTTTCACAACGAATTTTCTTCCGCGTACGACCTCTCTGTGGAATAGTTTACTACCGGCGATTTTTCCGGACCGATACGACCTAGGGACCTTCAAGAAAAGAGCTTACTCCTTTCTAAAGGGCCGGCAACGCACCTGCAATTCCCCTGGTGTTGCGGTTGATCATGGGCGGCGGTAGTATTTTAGTGAGATTTCTTAATTGGCTTAGAGACTGCGGGTATATTAATGAGCATTGTTTGCTCCCGCTTCTATAAAAAAAGAACGAAGATATCCGTAGCCGTAAAGCTCAGGAACGTACTTATTGGCAATTCTGTGTGAAAGGCTTACGTTCCATAGTGGACTTATAATGGACTGTAATGACCTCCCGGTTGACTGATTAATATCGAATTTCGAACAAATACAAGTAATTCCATGATTACGGAAAATCCTGCCTAACGAGAGAAGTCATAGTATATATCATAGCCACTCGTAGTAGGTAAACAATTAACTGCAGCGCTACGGAGTCGCAGGTTCAAATCGCGAAATAACAAATTTTATGGCTTACAAAGTTCCAGGATTAAACGTTTGTTGTTGTCCTGACGCAGTTTAAACAAAACAAGCAAACAACAAGCAAAATGCGAACTTTCTTTTTAACCTCGGACGAAAAAGAGGGTAGTTATATTTTTGAGGTATGTATCCGTGTATATGTGTATCTGTGGCATCGTAGCCCCCAAACCGATGAGCCGATTTAGATTAAGTTTTTTTTAAAAAGATATTTAGTAACTTTGCAACCATCCGCTCAATTAAATAAATTGATGTGTCTTACCTAGTTTGAAGAGCACCTTAAGAGGACTTAGCGGTCAGCCGCCGTAGAGTCTACATCACCTGAAGATGCCTCGTGTAGAGGCGAAATACTTGTATGGTATGGTCGATGGTGTGTCTTTCCTAGAATAGTGGTGTTGGGAGTAGTGGTACTGGGATTAGTGGTGACGGGATTAGTGCACGCAATTGAGGGAGGGCGGGAAGTACTCTTTAAACTAGTTAAGACACATCATTTTATTTAATTGAGCGGATGGTTGCAAAGTAACTATTAATATATTTACAAAGACATTTAAATAGGTAGTAGTAATAGACCGGACAACAGCAACAAAATTGTCGTCAGTAACTTTTGTCCTTTAGGATATACCTCCGATTTTTGTCATTTAGTCTAAGTGACATCGTCAAAAGGTCAAGACACATTCATTTTATAAATTTAAAAATATTTTTAAAGAAAATATGCCTGGTTGTGCGTTAAAGTATTGTAAGTCACGATATGGAGCAAAAATGAACGTGATTTCGGTTTATTATCGTAAGAATATCGTGTATTTACCAAATAATCTTTAAATTTTATTATTTCTAGTAGATTGTTCGAGAAGAAAGAAAAAAATATTGTAATAAGTGCCCTCTGTTATCCAGTAACGTCACTATTTATTTACAATTATGTTAGTGATTAAAGATGTGCCTACAACGGATTTTTACCTTATGTTTAGTAGTGTCACCTACTGGGAAATGGCTAAAATGTTTTCTAAACAAATAATCAGTGTAGTATTGCTATATTTCGCTAGATGGTGTAATACATGCGCGTGGTCACAGCTTTTGTATGAAAATGTTCACAATGTCCGCTCTATAGTGTATATATATATTTAAATCTCTTTGTATATTTATTATAATGGATTTCCGCATAGTAACGCCTGATTCATCAATTATCTTAAGTTTTTTTTTGTTTGAAAGTTTACTTAACCGAGTATTCTTATCTATGATTCAAGAAAATCTATTCTGAAGCTTTAACACTACCAGCTCCTCTTGTTTCAGGGGTTAATTTTTTTTTTAATTTAACTACTTATTAATACCATTCGATTCCATTATTAGCAAGCAACTGTCTTACTGTTTATTTACTGAATTCCATTTTATGAAAATAATGAATTACTTTTTGACAAATGATTGAAAATAAGACATTATTTTTAAGCCAGGAAGACGTGCAGCAGTAGTAAGAAAAATGTATTGAGTAGTTTGTAGTTTATCGTACCTTAAAGACTTGTGGCGCATACGACTGTGAACTAAGATCGTAATAGCATTGAACTTTACTTTTTGGATTTTATCACGTTTAATTTAACTTATTTTTAATGCATAGTCACACGGAGACGCCAATGTTTGAATATTATACCGAACTTCCATTTAACTAAAAATCCATAGACAGGAGAAGAATGAACTCAGTTTGTGTTAACCCTCAAACGAAACACGCATTTGCAAATAGATCTTACATAATATGTTTAGGACCATTTCTATGTAACAAGCTCAACAAGTCACTGAATATATATAGTGTAAGTTATAAGAAATATAATATAATTGTAAGGGATTATCTGAATAAATTAAATTATGAAGACACAAAAAAGTTAATAGAAATTCTGAAATAGTTTTTTTATAAATTTTAGGTAACTATTAATTGTTATTTATTTATTTTGTTTATTACATAATATAGTTTAATTATTTAAATTATCTAGTATGTATTAGTTATTTTTAGATGATAAACTTACATGGAAACCTCAGATAGAAAAAATTATCATCGATAACGGGTACCCTTCGAAGTACAGCTCGTTGTTTTCCGCGTAAAATACATTATCTTATTTACAATTCTCTAGTCAAACCACATATCGATTATCTGATAGAAATATGGGGCTCAGCTGCAAAGAATAACTTGACCCTAATACAAAGAGCTCGAAATAAAGTTATAAAGGTTCTATTCAACTATAACTATTTGACACCAACTCACAAAATACATAATGATACTAACCTGTTAAATATAAATCAATCGTACGTTTATCATACATGCATTCTGATTCGTAAAATAATAAATAAAGACATCCACACTTATTTAAGTTTCACTAAAAAGAGACAAATACAAAAAATTCAGCTAAGAAATGCAAATGATCTCATTTTACGTGCATCAGAACTAGTTATGGTAAAAGAAACCTGGTGTTTGGAGGAGCACAATTATATAATAAACTGCCTAAAGACATTAAGGAATCGCAGTCAAATGTAAGCTTCAAAAAATTACTAAAATATTATATTATAAAATCTATAAAATAACGGTCTTACTATTAAGTTAAAAATATTAATAATAATCAAGTATTTTAAATATATTTAAAAAGGTGCAATTAAGGTATAAAGTTTTTTTTTATTGTTCATTACTAATTCGAATTAGAATAAAATATTACTAAATATTCTTGCTTGCTTCCTGTAAATTGTTGAGCGTAGTTCAAATATATATCTGTGATTGTATCTCTCTCTGACGCTGTGACTGTTTTTAACTGTATTTGTAATGTACCCCCAATTTCTGTGTTTCTACAGATATTGTTATAACTTATAAATTTTTATGTTCTCATGATAAGTGAATTTTTGTATTCTTAATGAGAATAAAGTTCTTAAACCATAGTATCCTACATTATTAAACCCATAATGTAAGTGATGGTCTGAAACACAGGTACTCAATCTAGTTCAGGCAGGTAGGTGATATTATAAACTTGACTTCTCAATTTTTTTTGTAGGTTCTACATTATTAAGTTGCACATATTTTAATTTTATTATAGTGCGTTATTTTTGTTAGACTTATAGTTACTTTATTTAATTTTAATCATATTTGTTCCTGTATATAAACATGTGCAATTAGAAAATTAAATAAATTATTTATTATATTATATATTAATTCCTGGTCCGATCTACGCCAAATGTGCTTATAACTTCTTCAAGTCTTACAGTGGTATGCTTAGATTTAGATTTAATTTAGAAAATTAATATAAATAGAAAAAATAATATAATTATGAAATTAATAAAATGAAGTAATAATTTTAAACAGAAGGTAGCCGTGGTTAAACTATAGCATTGAGAACACCTCAGTCGCCCCCGTGACTATGGCATGTGGTTAGTACTCGAAAAGACGAGAATATATAATAAAATAAGTTAATATACGCGATAATATTTAAATTTGTTCGTGTAAATACAAAAGATCTTTTTTTGTATCTCTTGAAAAGTTAGGCTACTGTGGAGACGTCTCTATACGGCTTGAAGCCCGCGATATGTAAAATGCATCCACGATATGAGTGAAAATCCTAATACGAGAGTAACGTTTAGTAAAATAGTTAACATACCAAAAGCTCAGCCAGTAATCGGCTGACGTAGCAGACGCTTGTGTTAACATGAGTGTGAAAATTGCAAAAGCCACAGCCCATAGAGATTTAACTGAACTTGCGTAGTTTGAAATTACGGCCCACTTCAACCCTCCTTTAGCTCTCTCCTCCGCTTCTAGAATCTGTTTCCTTTCAATCCTAGGATCTTCATCACTTTTAACTGATATTCCAGATATTCCGCGATGCATCGACGGACGCTCAGTCTGTTACAATGTTAGAAAATAATATGTTATTTAACAAAATCGAAATTCTATGTGTGTAAAATATTAATAGAAGTTAATAATTCTATGAACATTTTTTTAATAGAATAGGGGTGACAAACGAGCGCACAGTCCATTTTGTTGATCCACTTACCATGTGTGCTGTGGCCCATAGACATCTACATTTATCCTCGATTAAAGAATCAAAATACAGATGCGTTGTCACCCCTGAGGACTAAGAGGGAATGTCTCGTTTCTAGTAAAAAATGGTCTCCGGATCTCTACACTCTACACCGCACCATACGATACACGGCAGTATTAAGCTGCTATTTTACGCTGGTATTCTATGAGAGCGTGGTCCTTTCACGGTCGAGCCTACCCATTCGTGCTACAATTATAACGTAGCTGCATCGTGGCTCTACCACTTATTTACTTCCAGCAACATTTTTAAATATTTTTATAAGCTGTTACTAAGTCATTGGTAGCTCAGGATATAAGCGCTCGCTATATATTTCACAGTACGCGAACAACCCGGGTTCGATCCCCGCCGGTACCAATGATTTTGTTAATGTAATTTTAAGTGCTGATTTACCACGTGTTTGGCGGTGAAGGAAAACATCGCGAGGAAAGCTGCATGTTTGAGAAATAAGAAAAAATATTTCGAAGACATGTGAAGTTCGCCTACACGCATTGGGGCAGCGCGGCGGACATTTATTTGCCCCAAAACCTTCTCAGAAATGAGAAGAGGTCTGTACCCAGCAGTGGGACATATATAGGCTGTAACTTTAGCTTTTAACTTTAAGTCGCTAATAAATATAATAAATAAACAGCCTAACAAAAATGCACTGCAGAACATAGGTCCATAGATTACGACTGTGATTTGTTACGTTTTAATTGTTATTAAGAAAAATAAAAATATGAATTTCTTTGCAACCTTCCGCTAAATAAATAGTGTTATTAAGAAGACGCTGCTGCCTATACCTGGTCTCCCTCTGTCACCTCTTACAACATCCACGGGATGATATGGGGTAGTGGATATTCTTACACCGCCACTACACAGGTAACGCTATGTTAAATAAATAAAGAACGAAAAGCAAGAAAGAACGGATAAGAATGATAGAAGAATATCGGATAACTTCCAGGCAAATATTAAAATGTTCTGGAAACTTGTAAGAACTGCCAGGGGACATTCAAAACAGCCTATGATGAATGCTATGAGAGACGAGAATGGCTATATTCAGAATGATGAAGTTTTGAGTTTAAAGAGATGGAAGGAATATTTTGAAAGCGTGTTTATGAGTGAGGAGACAACGTGTGTACTAAGTGAAGTAGAAACACCGAAAGAAGAGGAAAGAGGTAGCGAGATAAGTATAGATGAAATAATGAAAGCAATGAAAAGCATGAAAGCAGGTAAGGCTGCCGGATATTATAGAATTTCACTCGAAATGCTAAGGGCTGAAGAGGAAGTGGTGGCAGGCCTGCTGTACACCTTGTTTAATTAATGCTGGGAACTGAAGCGGGTATCGGTAGACTGGTGCAAAGCCGTGATAGTCCCAGTATATAAAAGAAGAGGGTCACAGCAGGACTGTAAAAACTACCGTGGCATCAGCCTTCTTAGCATTGTGGGAAAACTGTATGCTAAGGTACTGAAAGGGTCATGAATGAAACTGATGGAAAAATTCGGGATTTCCAAGCGGGATTTAGAAAGGGAATGGGATGTACAGATCAGGTCTTTTCCATGCGCATGATCGCGGAGAAGTTTCTGGCCAAAAACCAAAAGGTTTTTTGTGCGTTCATGGACTTGGAAAAGGCCTATGACAGAGTGGATAGGGATTTGCTATGGCAAACACTGAACTCATTTGGGTTGAGCGCTGGCTTGATACGGGCATTGAAGTCTCTTTATAGGGACTCTAGTGCTTGTGTTAGGATCAACGGGGTCTACTCGGACTGGTTTGACATCCATAAAGGTGTCAGACAGGGCTGTGTGGCTTCCCCGTGGCTGTTCAACCTATTTATGGACAGTTGTTTGCAAAATTTGAATGTTGAAGAATGCGGATTAAGAATGGGTGAGTTAACCGTCAAATGCCTTTTGTACGCCGATGATCAAGTTATTCTTGCGTCGTCGGCGGCCGAGTTGCAAATGATGGTTACATTAATGAACGGATCATTAAAAGAAAGGGGTATGAAAGTGAACGCAAGTAAGACGAAGGTTATGGTTTTTGAAAGAGAAGAAAGTAAAACGATTTGTGAAATAAGAATAGAAGGGGAGTTGATCGAGCAAGTAGATGAGTTTTTATATTTGGGCTGCGTATTTAGCAGGGATGGCAGATATGATAAGGATATGATAAGGATATAGAACGACGAGTGAATGCGGGAAATAGAGTAAATAGGGCCTTGCACTATATTGTGAAGAGTCAAAATGTGTCGAAAAAGGCACGTATGGCAATTCACAATGCTGTGTTGGTCCCTACTTTAACGTATGGTAGTGAAAGTTGGGTGTGGCAGAAGAAGCACGAGAGTAGAATAAACGCAGTAGAAATGCGGTCGTTAAGGAGTATGTTAGGGCTGAATCTGAATGACAGGGTAAGAAATTGTGTAATAAGAGAAGAGTGTGGTTTGCAAGATGATGTTGTGACCAGGATTAAGAAAGGAATGCTTCGGTGGTTCGGTCATGTGGAAAGAATGAATGAGGAAAGAGTGACAAAGAAAATTTATGGTGCAGAAGTGAATGGCAGAGTCGGAAAGGGACGTCCTAGGCGAAAATTTATCGACCAAATTGGCGATTTATTGAAAACGGGCCAAATTACGAGTACCCTTAACCGACGAGCATGTATGCGAAGGTGTATGGATGTGAAGGAGGCAAAAGAGGTGTGTCAGGATCGTGCCAAATGGAAGTCTGTAGTCTCTGCCTACCCCTCTGGGTAACAGGCGTGAGTGTTTATATATTTATATATATATATATATATATATATATATATATATATATATATATATATATATATATATATATATAAGTAGAGCAATTCGACAGAAATTTAAAACAATTAAATATTTTAAATAATCACTTATGAGTTATATAAAAAACTCTAGAAGAAACACATTTGTAAAGGTTTATTTTACTCTGAATGCTACAATTTACAAGTAACCTTATTTTTTAAAACGAGGCTCGGGACTTGCGAGCGATGTAAAGAAAATTAAGAAATTGAACTCCTACATTTCTGTATAAAAACAAAGCCCGCAACCTCAACAATCTGGGCCAGTAAAGAAAACTTTTATTTGAATATGTTTGATTCTAAGGATTTTATTGAGCTGCCAAGCAGAAAGAATAAGCTATTAATACGAAATGCAAAACTTAATTAAAAAATCAGTTTTATTGCTAAGTGTGAATTTCTTCCAGTGTTAGTGCAATATTAAATCACATTTTAGTGTGGCTATTAAACCATCATAAGTCGAAAATATAGCCCAACCTCTCTGCTTCGCGTTCAAGATGTAAAATAAGTTATGATTTAACCCCTCAGTCCCCTTAAAATTCCCACGCAGTCGCATGCGCCCGGCAAATCCCGAGCGGTTGCATGCGACGGACCCCGTCTTTATATTTGGAAACTACTTTTCTATGAAGAAGTTTGGCATTATAAAATCTATCAAAATTCTTATATAAAAGTCAGGTTACTTCATTACTAAAAGACTATTGTATTTTGAAAATAAAAGCGAATGGAGTGTCACAATTCATTATTCGAAATTATTTACTTAAAAAGATAAATTATATTCACACAAAAACTTTCATTACAATTTTATAATATACTTTGAAAAATCAAATCATACAATAACATTCACTCAAAAATGGCCTACGAAATGAACGTAGATTATAAATAAATATATTTAGGATAACTAACTTTTTATTGCACTAGAAGATAGAAAATTTCATATTGATTCTATAATGCTAAACTTCTTCACATAAAAGTAGTCTCTATACATAAGTTTTTATGGGTTAAAATGCTGTGGGTGGGTGCGGTAATATTTGACCGCTTGAATTTTGACGGAATATCGAAGCGGTCAAATTTAGCCGCTTGGTGTTTGAGAGGTTAATGTATTAAAATCTCAATTTCACTAAGTTTTATTTAAAGTACATTATAAAAATCTTAATACTTCGTTATGCCTTACCTCCACGACGCTACGCGCACCAAAATTGGTGAAAATCCCCATAAAGATGATGAAAATTCCACGTCACATCGCGAGTGTTAAGTTGTTAACGATGTACAAGTCAAATTTTAACAATTAATTGTTTCATAGAAGGACCGCTATTGTAATACCGACCGTGATATTGTAGCTACTCATTAGTACCTAACTAGAATTTCTAACTAAATTTTTAATGCAGCGTCTTGAGTGATAGGTTAAAACTTTGAGGTAAAGTTCGTTACCTTTTCATTGCCATCCTCTGTCTTATTACTTCCTTCACTAAGGCTAGATAGCAATAATGAAAACTCTTTTTCCGATTTAACTAATTCATCATATGTTCCCATATTTTCAATAAAACCCTAAAAATAAATTTTTATTAATAAACTTGCATCATAAAATATTTTATTTAAGTATTATTGAACCAACCTCGTTCAGTATAACAATATAATCTGCAGCTTTTAGGAAGTGTATCTGATGTGTAACTAGAATACGTGTACTTCCTTGTAGATAACCGTTTATGCATTCTTCGAATAATTGCCGTCCAACATTTGCGTCCACGGCTGATAGGGGATCATCAAGTAAATAAATGTCAGCCTAAAATCAAAAAAATATTCAAAATTAAATTTAACATCAGGAATACTGTAAAATTATTACCATAATTGCAGCTCATAGCAAGTCCACTGTCAAGCGCAGATCTCTTTTCACGAAAATATCAAAGGACGATTCTAAGCGACCTACAACCATCTACTCGTTACGTCTTATCAAGTTATCACTTCTTTTAATGAGGGATCGCCTCATAATGCGCCAGAAAGAGGCCACCATGCGGGACTCATTATTTTCCTTCAAATGTGGACTCTTTATTTAACGACATAACCGTAATATTGCCACTTTATCTTACTGATTTCATATGTTATACCGTTTACTCCGGCTCTATTGTGAAATGCTCCTTACGAATTCTATCCCGCACAGAAACTTCATGTGTAGTCCTTTTTATAGCTTGCTTAGCAGCTTGCGTAGCAGTTGCTCACTAGGTCTCCCCGCAGTAACTTGTTTAGTAACCCGGACTTGTTTAAGCGATGGCGTAGCATTCGACTTTTTTTATAGAAGAGGGGGCAAACGAGCATGCGGCTCATCTGATGGTAAGTGACTACAGCTGCCTATGAACAAATGCAACACCAGGGAAATTGTGGGTGCGTTGCCGGCCTTTAAGAAAGGAGTAAGCTCTTTTCTTGAAGGTTCCTAAGTCGTATCGGTCTCGGTTCTCATAAGATCAGCAGTGGAAGACCACGCCTTGTTTCCTTAGTGTTAGTTCGTTATAATTCGTAAACAAAAAAGAGTCTAAAGTAGCCTTACTTATATATATCAGTGTTTAATGACCATCCAAAATATTATCATCATTTTGTTTGTGTTTCATTGGCAGTTATTTACGTCACACTGCAGCTTATGATTCAGCACGAATAGATCAGCACGACGGCGGAAGGAACAGGAAAGCTAGCATGGAGTACTAGCATAAATAGCAACGTAATGCTGCAGTGTTTTATGATGGGACTAGAGAACCGGAAACGAGTATCGGAACAGGAGCAGGAATTCCGTTTTAGTGGGTGCGTTTGGCAGAAAAAAGCGCTAGCAAGCGCTTGTAAGCAAAATGGCGATTGTAAGCGGTAAGCGCTGTCAAATCCTAAGTAGCTATTTTCCTCCAGGACACGAAGTTAGTTTTAACCGGGGAACCTAACCTAATTTAAATATATGTTTGTAAAGTATTCATATTAAAAACTTACCAATGTATATGTCTATTCATGTCATTATATTACTTAAAACTAATATTGCACAAAAAAACTTATAAACTACTTCAAATCAAACAAATTAAATAAGCATAATGGCGGATTGTGTCAGCGCTACTGAAGCAGCAATCGTGTCCTGGGCGAAAACTATTTCAGCGCTTGTAAGCGCTTGCTAGCGCTTTTTTCTGCCAAACGCACCCAGTCTTTAGGTGTGATCACTTACGGTAATTTGTAAATGTCATACATTTATACACGTGTTAAATGGAAATTATCAGCTACTGTAATTGGTATTAATTTTACTTTTTTTAATATTATTTAATGAAAATGAAATAAGAACGATATGGTGTGGATACTTAGTACTTACGTCTCTATATACCGCTCTAGCTAGGTTAATTCTTGCTTTTTGCCCTCCCGAAAGTGAAACTCCACGTTCTCCAACAAGCGATAAATCACCATAAGGGAATTGCTTAAAATCAGGCAACAGACAACAAACTTTGCATACCTGCCGAATGAAAATTTTAAAAAACGTTTATAGCAGAAAATACAGAACCTTAAATTAAATAATCAATAACATTACCTCCTTATACTTTGGCGCGTTATAAGGTAAACCGAACAAAATATTATCACGTACTGTCGCAGGGAACAACCATGACTCTTGACAAGCGTAAGATAGTCTTCCACTTACATTAACACTTCCTTCACAAATAGAAAACTCTTTCAACAAGACCTGCATTAAGGACGACTGAAACATACCCAGATCAAAAATGTGTTTATAATCATAATTTGTATGAAAATTATTTAAAGATTTAATAAACAAATTAAAGTCATAGAAAGCAATTAGTATGACCGCCAATACGGTTTTCGCCGTGGTAGGTCAGCTGGTGATCTTCTGGTCTACCTAACTCACAGATGGGCGGAGGCAGTAGAGTCCAAGGGGGGAGGCATTAGCCGTTAGTTTGGACATTGCGAAGGCCTTCGATCGGGTTTGGCACAAAGCGCTTCTTTCGAAGCTCCCTTCCTATGGGCTTCCCGAGAAATTGTGCGATTGGATCACCAGTTTTCTTGCAGATCGGAGCATCAAGGTCGTTGTAGACGGTGCAAGCTCCGATTGCAAGCTTATTAATGCTGGTGTTCCACAGGGCTGCGTGCTATCGCCAACGCTGTTTCTTCTGCATATCAATGATATGTTGCAAACCCGTAGCATTCATTGCTATGCAGATGACAGCACTGGTGATGCTCTTTACACCGGCCGAGCCAATATTTCTCGGGAAAACGTCTCTGAGTGCCGGGACAAACTTGTGTCTGAAGTCGAGTCTCTGCTGGACAGAGTCTCGGATTGGGGGCGACTAAATCTAGTCCAGTTTAACCCCCAGAAGACACAAGTTTGCGCGTTAACCGCTAAAAAGAACCCCTTTGTCGTATCCCCTCAGTTTCAAGGCACTCCCCTTGTTGCCTCAGCCAGTATCGGAATCCTCGACGTCGACATATCGAGTGACGTGCAGTTTCGTGGTCACTTGGAAGGGAAGGCCAAATTGGCCTCTAAAAAGCTTGGCGTGCTCAGCAGAGCGGGACAGTATTTCATGCCGGCACACCGCCTGCAACTTTACAAGGCGCAGGTTCGGCCGCTCATGGAATACTGTTCCCATCTCTGGGCTGGGGCTCCCCAGTACCAGCTCCTTCCACTTGACCCCATCCAGCGCAGAGCGGCTCGAATCGTTGACGACCGAGTGCTTTCCGATCGGCTCGATTCACTGGCGCTGCGAAGAGATGTTGCATCTCTTTGCGTATTTTATCGCATCTATCACGGGGAGTGCTCTGAGGAATTGTTCGGATTAATCCCAGCCGCCAAATTTCGTGAACGCACTACACGGCAAACGTCCCGATACCATCCACACCATCTGGATGCTTGGCGGTCCACCACTGTACGTTTCAAAAGGAGTTTTCTTCCGCGTACAACCTCTCTGTGGAATAATTTACCACCGGTGATTTTTCCGGACCGATACGACCTGGGGACCTTCAAGAAAAGAGCTTACTCCTTTCTAAAGGGCCGGCAACGCACCTGCAATTCCCCTGGTGTTGCGGTTGATCATGGGCGGCGGTAGTCACTTAACATCAGGTGAGCCACATGCTCGTTTGCCCCCTCTTCTATAAAAAAAAAAAAAAAAAAAAAAAGAAGAATGGTGTCACATGTTAGGTATTTACCTATAAAATTGTCGTTTAATCAAACTGGCTACTATGAATCGTAAACATGGTTTCATTTTTTTAGTACTTTTAAGACATGTTATTCTTTTTAAAAACAGTTATTTGTTTTTTTTCTACAATATCGCTACATTTGTAGTAATTATGGACCCATTTTAATGTGAAATTAATGCATCTTAAACATAACGAAATATCAATGACTTACGTGTTCAAACGAACGCGCTATCATCCAAACAAAAGCGATTGAAAAATTAACGCGCAGTAAAAATTTTAAAATTTCAGCCGCACATATGAATCTCGTGGCCTCTCGATGAAGATTGATAAAGAGGAACTGAAGGCGACAAAGGAAGTGGATCCGTCTCAAACTACGATTGAACTAGGGTCGGCTTTAATTGTCAAAACAGTATTAGTAAAATCAAAAAGCTTGACAAATGGGTACCTAAGAAATTGAGCAACGGACAGTTAAAGACTATGCACCACATTCTCCAGACCATGCCTAAACGGACTTTCACTTTTATGGAAATGTAATGAAGAAATTGAAATATTTGATTATTTAAAAGTTTAAATAACTTCGTTTATTAACAAACGTTTCAATTCCTAAAAATCAGTAAAGAATGTCACCAGTCATCGTTAAAAATTCATCGATTCTCATTCTCATATCGCATGAAAATTAACAAACAGCTCATAAGATGGAACGAGTGTATTAATAGTTCCGAAAAATAATTTAATTATTTAAAGTTCTTTTTACTTGTAAAAAATATTTCAATTTTCTCATAGAAAACCGTAATTTCATAGGTAAAACTAAAATGTATTAAAAACTACGAACAACAAAACGAACTTTGTGATAAAACTTCCAGTTAAAATATATATGTAAATATATATATATATATATATATAGTATACTAGATGGAGTGACGACCTGGTAAGACATGCAAGAAGTTGATGGATGCAGGTGGCTTAGGACCGTGCTTTGTGGAATATCTTGGGGGAGGCCTATGTTCAGCAGTGGACTTGTGAAGGGCTGTAATGATGATGATGATGATGATGATGATGATGAAGTTATAAGAGAGGGTCATTTTTCGTAGTTAGTGTAGCGTATATCAAAAAATATATATCTTCCAGGTGCCTTGGAATAATTTTAATTATGTATTTTAGAATTTATAGAAACCAGAAATTAAAAAAAAACTCGACTATTTGGACGGACCCGGCTGCTCTACACGTAATTGGGAAAACACTTATGAAAAATGTTGATTACTTTAACATCAATATATTAATATATCATTATTGCTCAAAAATGCACCAAAATGTTCTGTACCCAACTCGAGCTATATGCTGAACTCGAGTCATGTTGTATTTTAGCAACAAATCACATCACCGTGAAACAGAGCCCCAGCAGCTGACGACAATTAGCCATGAATTATTTATCTACGGATAATATACTTCTTTTACAGTTGTTTTATACTTCAAAGCCGTCCAAATAGTTCGGGATATTTATTTCTAGGTACTATAAACGTTAAAATAAATATTCCAAGGTGTTTGGAGAATATCTTTTGGTTTTAATTGCTAATGTCAGTCAGTGACAACAAAAAACCGCAAACATCGTTCCTTACGGTTGATGCTTGATATTTTTGTAAATTGAAGCGACAAACTAACTTAAATCAAAGTGACAGGTACACCTGTTGCCGACTTAGGGTAGGATTCATTATAATTTTATTTTATTTTATTTAACAAGTACACTTACAATACACATATATGACAATCACGATAACATACACATTTCTATACTCTCTGATATGTATATCAATACGAGGGTGGATTGAAAAGTACTCGGCCTAACACAGATCCATTCAATTCTAAAAATCAAATCTACCCACATTATTTAGTTCAGTTCAGACTAGTTCATTGTGTGAAGTTCGAAACGTGTGCGATAATTAGTTGTGATTTTATAAATTTATGAACAAAGTAATCGGACATAATTTCCGCGAATGGAGCAAATCGAGCAGCGTGCCGTCATTAAGTACCTCCATAAGAAGGGGCTATCATCAAAAGCCATCCATGATGACATGGTCAGTACATTAGGCGATTGTGCTCTGTCATATTCATCCGTCAAAAAATGGATAGCAGAATTTAAGCGTGGTAGAGAGAGTGTGAAAGATGAACCCCGCTCTGGAAGGCCTTCGACGTCAACTACTGACGAAAATATTAAAAAAGTACTTGATTTAATAATGGGAGACCGCATATTAAAAATTAGAAAGATAGCCGAGATTATAGGCATCTCTTATGAACGAACTCAAAACATCATTGTCAACGAGTTGGGTTTCCACAAGGTGTCTGCGAGGTGGGTTCCGCGACTGCTTTTAGTTGAACAAAAAAGGACGCGATTGACTATTTCACGCGACTGTTTGGAGTTATTTGAAACCGATGCAGATGATTTTTTGAATCGTTTGGTACTATGGACGAAACATGGGTTCATTACTGTACACCGGAAACAAAACAACAATCAAAACAGTAGAGAAGACCTGGTTCACCACCCCCTAAAAAGGCTAAGTCGATTTTGTCGGCAAATAAGGTGATGGCTTCAGTATTCTGGGACTCGAAAGGTGTGATTATGATTGATTATCTTGAAAGGGGTCAGACTATAAACTCTGATTACTACTGCACCTTACTACGTCGTTTACAAGAGGAAATAAAAGAAAAACGTTGAGGAATGCTCAGAAGAAAAGTCCTGTTTCATCAAGATAACGCCCGTGTTCACACGTCAGTACAGTCAATGGCTGAAATTCACAACTGTGGCTTTGAACTGTTACCGCATCCGCCGTATTCACCTGATCTGGCACCATCAGACTTCTTTCTGTTCCCCTAACCTAAAAAAGCACTTGGGAGGTCAAAGATTTTCGACAAACGACGAGGTCAAAGCAGCTGTAGACGCATATTTTGACTCTAAGGAAGAATCATTTTTTTTCAACGGTCTAAATGCTTAGAAGGGGAGGTGGCAAAAGTGTATTGAACTTGATGGTGATTATGTAGAAAAATAAAAATATAACTGATTTAGTATGTGTTTATTTTCTTGGTTAGGCCGAGTACTTTTCAATCCACCCTCGTAACAAGTGTACATAACATTCACCGATTGAGTCGTGCAATTTTGGGTGCATATAAATACAACATCGAAATACTACGGTTTCTTATTGCCAAGTTTAAGAATGAAATGCCTTATATCTATTAAAAAGGATTCTCTACACTCACCATATGAAACACAGCAGCGTTAAGCTGCTATTTAATACATATTCTCTGAGGGTGTGGTCCTATCCCGGTCGAGTAGACCCATTTATGCTACAACCATAGTATAGCTGTTGCATGGCTCTACCACGTGAAAAACGATATGAATCATAGCGTTAGCTCCAACCTCAGAAGATATTATGTGAAAATAATTCATTTTAAGTTTGAAAAGAGTTTATGAAAATGAAGATCACTTTATTCACTTTTGATGGACCTCTAAAGAGAATTTTTTTTTTTATAGAATAGGGTGACAAACGAGCACACAGTCCACCTGATGGTAAGTGGTTGCTGCGGCCCATAGACATCTACATCTATCCTCCATTAAAAATCAAAATGCAGATGCGTTGTCACCCGTGAGGACTGAGATGGAATGCCTCGTTTCCAGTAAAAAGGGTCAAATTTTCAGAATTCCCGAATAATAACTTTGAAAGATCATGTAGCTAGAAAATCCAGTGCTACTATACGTATAGGAATTCTTTACCTTCTTAGTTTAAAAGAAAGACGCATTAGTAACCACGATGTGAATAAAAAAATAACATGACCAACTTCCCAACTTTTTGATTATCCATCTGATAGCAAAAATCTTACAATTCAAAAAATTTATATAAAATTGTAAGATCGTGCAGTCACTTACTTACAAACGTATTTGTCAACAACAGTGTTTGATCTAAGGAATAATTAATAATATTTTATATTCTACGGTGAAAAATAGAAAACTGCTTACTTTCCCACTACCTACTGGCCCAATGATAGCGCAAAGTTTGCCTTTACGTAGACGCATCGATATGTTCTTAAGTGTCATTTGCTCTGTGATATTGGTCCATGATGCACTTACTCCACATAGTTCTACAGCAAAATCGCTAGACACTGAATTTCGTGATTTTGGTTGAAGATCTATAATATAATATAAATAAAAATAAGTAAGTATTTCATGCATTGCACAAAACTTTATAGTTTGATTTTAACACGTGTGACTTATTAAAATATAATAATTTGAAGAGGATTTTTACGTTAATTTTGTTTTCATTTCAAGGTATTGGCGAAAAATGATTAAACATACATGAATTTATTATTCATATTTTGTCATACATGTACTAACACTTTTTTAATCAATAGATGCAATGTATCAAAATCTTAACCGAAAATTCTCCCCATTTTCAAACTCTTCTCTTAAGAACTTAAGTTTTTTAGATGTTTGACATTTCTGCAACATAAAATGGTACATGATCCCGTTATGAGAAAGAGGAATTTCTAGGTTAATATTATCTTACTTTCTATGTATTATCGTTTTTTATATTCATTTTCAATTTAATTTAGTTTTAATTTAAGTATATTTAAAGCGTTTATTTTTTAAATATATTTTTAAATGCAGCCAACATTTGTGTAACAATAACGCTGTCGACCTCCCGTTATCAATAAAAATAATCATTATCAATAAAAATAATCACTATCGGTAAGTCCACCGCTGGAAACATACTTTTTCAGAGTATTAAATAGAGTACACTTAATTTGGATTTATCATAATTTGTGAATGTTATAAAAAAATTAAAAATCCTTTAAACACATCAGGTATAAAATTGATCCTCCTACTTTCTATTTTCCATCAATTATATGATTCCGCTGCTTGAAATTAGCCATGCATGGCAAAGAAAATGCTTATTATCAATAAATAAATACAATTTGATTTTTTTTTTCAATTTGAAATAATTTCCAATTTGAAATTTTTTAAATTTCAATTTTTTCTATCGCAACCGTCGCTATATCAAAACCCAGTAGCCATGCTCCGAGAAATTGATTGATTTCACTCCAGTTAATAAATTCCACGCCTCGACAAATCTTTAAATTTCATATACATCATCTCGATAGTGAGTTTTGTTCACCGGGAATTTCTGCTACGCACGGTAACATTGTGTAAATTACTGTTGTCAGCGGTTATTCTTGACTTATGTTATTTAGGGGCCGTACTCTTTTCCAAAATCACTTCCAATACCTTTGGTGTTGCAGATGTTCATGAGCGGCGCTTACCACTTACCATCATAACCACCATATATGATAATTTGCCTCCTATTCCATAAAAAAGCCTTTTAAGAGTTTGTCATATTTTGCACTATAAAAAAATCCCCATGTGAATCATGTTTCATATGTACGTTGGTGAACGAAAATTCGATACCCTCACATTGGTCATGCTGTACTTCATTAGTATGAGAGGTATAGAGTTCATCATATTTTTACAAATTTTAAAACCTCAGTCCCCTTAAAATTCCCATGCAGTCGCATGCGCCCGACAAATCCCGAGCGGTCGCATGCGACGGCACCCACCCGCAGCACTTAAAACCATTAAAACTTATATTTGGAAACTACTTTTCTATGAAGAAGTTTAGCAGTATAAAATCTATAAAGTATAAAATCTATACAAAATTCTCTATATAAAAGTCAGTTACTTCATTACAAAAACACTATTGTATTTTGATAACAAAAACAAAACATACCAAGCGAATGTCGGCAGCGTGAAAATCACAATTATTTCAATATATATTACTCGAAATTACTTACGTAAAATTACAAATTATATTCTCACAAAAACTTTCATTACAATTTTACAATAAAACAATATACTAAAACACTAATAAAACACTAGAAAAAATCCAAAAATCAACACAATAACATTCACGCGAAAATGGCGTACGAAATGAACGTAGGTTATAAATAAATTGCCATAGCATAACTATTTTTTATTGCACTAGAGGATAGAAAATTTTATATTGATTCTATAATGCCAAACTTCTTTATAGAAAAGTAGTCTCTCAATATAAGTTTTAATGGTTTAAAGTGCTGTGGGTGTGCGCGATCGAATTCGACCGCTTGGATTTTGACGGAATAGCCCCGCGATCGAATTCGACCGCTCAGGGGCTGAAGGGTTAACATCCGATGATAAGTTCATGTTGAACGTTCAATACGACTCAACAAAATTTTGTAAATTTATCACTTTACAATTGACCCCTAAAATAATTAATGTCCTTATGTTTCTTATAACTTTTTAACATGTGCACTTTTACCAATCGAAAGTCTTGGTACGTCATTTTCCTTCGAGGAATATTTCTTTCCAATTACGTAGTTTCCAATATTAGAGTTCATTTTGCCATTAAAATTTACAGGATTTATATTTTTATTAATACTTTTAAGAACTTTTAAGTCATCTCGTTCCTCTGTAAATAAAATTAAATAGTTTTAATTAGTCTAGCGGTGAAGTAAAAATGTAAGTAAAATAAAATAACAAATTATTTTTGAAAAAATGTATCTTCTTCTCTGCCTTTACCTACGAAATTGCCGTTTCGTTGAATTACCACCGGTCGCACTAATGACTAAATTTATATCCGGAACGAAGGGACGGAAATTGTTGGAGCGGTAGGATGTTAATTTCAAATCCGACCCAAATGAACCAGAAAATGGTGCGGCGGTTGTCCCGATTCCAATCTGGGTCGAAGTAACTAGAAAATGGTGGAGCTAAGATCCCGTGTTCGATTCCCGTGTCAGGTCAAGATCCATTATGCGAGATTTTACTATATGTATGGACTGTATGCGTGGTTCTCTACAACCAATTCAAGATGGCAGAAGTGGCACGTGGCCGGATTTTGGGCAATGCACTTGTTATTATATTAACCTAACCTAACCTATATCAGCCGGCAAGGGTAGGATCGTGGGTTGCTGTAGGAAAGGGAGTGGTGACAAATGAGAACAGCTCACGCTAGGAAAAGAAAGGAGGTGCACTTACTTGGGCGTTGATTTTCTTGCAGCCTTTTACTCAGGTTTGAGGCTGATGGTGCTACGTTGTAGCTGCGGTGGTGTGAATCGATAACTTGCACTATGCGAAGTGGTTACTACTACAAGGTTGTTCTGTGGCGTGACTGCCACAGAGGTGCAATAACATCTAGCGATGTTCGGATGGAAGTAATAGGGGAGGATACCAGTAAATATAGTCTACAAAATAAGCGTTTTGGCGCAACGAACCACTTTTAACTATAATATGTATGATGTAGTATAGTTGTAGTGTATTATATATATATTATATATATATATATATAGTATGATATTCTACTTACAGAATCATGAAACTTGACAAATGGGTACTAAGTTCATGAATTGGGGCCCCGTATCCAAGCTTGCATCATATCGCTACCTGAGATGAGAAGTGGATCCTACTCTTGCTCAATCCAAACAGTTACCGTAACGAAGCTTGGTAAATTACTGATGGTATTATTCACTATAGTTTCTTCCTATCTAATACCACATTTATTGCAGATCGTTAATATCAAATATTGAAAACGATAATGGAGAAGCTGGCACTTGATTAACCCAGGTTGATTCTTCGTCATTGCTTCTTCATGATAACGCCCGGCCACATATTTTACAATAGGCGAAAGTAAAATAAACATAGCATAAGCTTGACCCTTTCTCATCCAGCATTTTCTTTAGTATTCGCCCTAACACACATCCATCTTTTTTGAAGTTTGGGTAACTTTTTAGTTGAGACAAAGAGAGTAGACAAAAAATTCCTCGAAATAGTCTTTAAAAGGTTCATCAATTCTCGTGCCGTCTTTTATAGCAATGGTATCAACAAGCTGTATATAAAAAGGAAAATGGCAATAAAAATATAGAAAACAAGTGATTCCTTTTTAAATTTTGTACTTATAAAAATATACCACGTTATTTCTACATTGTCATCCGATTCTGAAAATTTTAAACCTCTAGCTCATCGGGAAGTGCTTGAAATTTGAGTTGCAAGATTCCACCCGGAAAGACAGACGGACAAACAAGAAGGTGACTGAATAAAAATATGGTAAAATAATTAAATTTTCTCATACAAAACGGCAATTTCGTAGGTGAACCTGACACTATACTGATTATAATGATATTCTTCACCGTCGCCAAGAAGCAGGAAGTTTGATATTGCGATTGCCAACGAGGGCGATGATTTCCGCAAATCTTTATAATGGTGAAGTCCATGTACTTCACGTTACATGATATTGATGAATGAGCATAAAATAAAAATAATACAATTCTTAAAAGATTTCTAAAAGCATTAATAGCTTTCGTAGTTATTTACAATAGTGTAAAACTACAAGACTGCAAATAAATAAATATTCATCTATATATATAAATTGTTATGGGGGGTATATTGCCATGAACATTGGTGAGAGTTGAGTTTAGATATGGGGGTAATATATATATATATTATATATATATATATATATATATATATATATATATATATATATATATATATATATATCCCCGCCAGTACCAATGAAATTATTAATTGTAATTTTAAGTGCTGATTTACCACGTGCTCGGCGGTGAAGGAAAACATCGTGAGAAAACCTGCATTTCAGAGAAGTAAAAAAAAAACTTGTGACATGTGAAGTTCGCCAACACGCATTGGGGCAGCGCGGCGGACAATTCCTTGCCTAAAACCCTCTCAGAAATAAGCGGAGGCCTGTGCCCAGCGGTGGGACATATATAGGCTGTAACTTTTAGGAAGTCCGTAGTCTCCCACCCTCTTAGTGGGTTCCCCGTCGCGACCCTCGTGTAAACCATTCTAGTTACTTTACTTTTATATATAAAACTCAATTACTGTCCGTTAATCTCACTAGAACTCGAATATGGCTCCACCGATTTTGATGAAATTTTTATGTGTATTTGAGTGGGGTCTTCGGATGTTTTTGATTCATATATGGACCCGGTAGGAGGCGCTGTTGTCGAGATCGATGCGATCGAGTGCGAAGCCGGGACGGATAGCTACTATTAAATAAATTACAACTTACCCATCACAAGAACACTTTGAATACGTTCTAAGGCAACAAACATTTCCGATAAACTTGCTATTGCTATTGGTAAAATGAAAGTCAAATTCATTTGTACTATACTGAAAAATTGTTGAATTGGATATATCTGAAAAAGTTCAAAGGAGATTAAATTGATAGTTATGATTTTTTTAAATTATGCAACATAACTGTACGAGTTTATTGTATAGTGTCAATATCATATGTAAAATTATTTGTTCTGTGAGTATCTAAAATGTTACCTTTATTTGGAATAAATGATGTTAGTCGTAAATATTTCAATAGTTGTATAGTATAGTTAGTATAATTACAGAATATTATCACAAAATTGAAATTACGCGGGTATATTGTTTAAGTGCAAAAATAGAAGCACACTATATTATTCCATTAATGTATGTCCTAATGCTTAAACAACGAAGCCGCCAACGAAAAACCGAATTCAAAAATTATATATTTTCGGGACTGCTGTGCTTATTGCAAATGCAATGAAATAAATTTAAAACGCTATAGCAATATTATGAGAATAGTATGAATGAGTTGGCTCGACCGGAGAAGGAACACGCTCTAACAGAATACTAGAGTAAAATAGCAGCTTAATGTTTCTGTGTTTCGTATGCTGAGTGTAGAGAACCGGAGACTCGTTTTCCTGGAAATGAGGCATTCCATCTTAGTCCTCAGGGGTAACAACGCATCTGTATTTTGATTCTTAATCGAACGAATAAAAATGTAGATGTCTATGGGCTACTGTATCCACTTTCCATCAGTGTGTGCTCGTTTGTCATCCTTATTTTACACATATTTTGAATCTGGTCACAATATTTCAGCTTCAGAATTTGTGACCCCTCGAGCATGTGATCGAGGCAACGGAGTTTCAACGAGGCAGTCAAATCAAAAAAAAAACGAAAGTCTTTATTACTAATATCCAACAAACAAAGAGTTTGTGCTTTTAAATTGTAAAAAAAAATTTGTAGCAGGTACAGTTAACATACCAGAGTAGCTGTCAGCATAGAACCAGAGAGCACAATCGTAAGTGATGTGATGAATAGCGTACTCCTCTCCGTGAACAACATGAAACCCACAAAAACGCTGCGAATAAATAAGGACCGTTGAAGCGATTTCAATTCTTTTTCTCGGGCTTCTGTGACCATCAAACGGAAGGGTTTCTCCCATGCGTACATTTTTATTACCTGCCCAATAAAAACAATATCATTGACTAATCTTTTACCTTTAAATAAATAAAATTGTTTTGTATTTACCTGAATTCCGTTTATCAATTCGTTCATCAATTTTATTCTCCTATCAGTCCTCTTAGCGGTGGTACGTCTAACTATTGATGTCAGTTTCGTTAGGCCAGCTGGGAACATATTATGAACTTAACAAATTTTATTTGATTTTATTTGTAATGAAATGTCATATTTTTATCATTCAATGTAAAACTAATTTTATAAAAAACATAATTTCGTCTCTTTCTTAATCTACTTCATTGAATATCGGATTCTTAAAAGCAGTATGTATTTGACACATATTTGTATATGAAAATACACATAAAGTGTAAAATGCGAAGGTGATAAGAAAGCGACAATATTTGGAATGGACAGAAAATCCGGATAAATATAACAAATGTGTTTCATTATTGTATAATCTTCTGACTACGACTACTGCCATTTAGCCATAAAATCTAAAAGATAAGTAATTAATTGTTCACAATGCTGTGTTGGTCCCTACTTTAACGTATGGTAGTGAAAGTTGGGTGTGGCAGAAGAAGCACGAGAGTAGAATAAACGCAGTAGAAATGCGGTCGTTAAGGAGTATGTTAGGGCTGAATCTGAATGACAGGGTAAGAAATTGTGTAATAAGAGAAGAGTGCGGTTTGCCAAGATGATGTTGTGACCAGGATTAAGAAAGGAATGCTTCGGTGGTTTGGTCATGTGGAAAGAATGAATGAGGAAAGAGTGACAAAGAAAATTTATGTTGCAGAAATGAATGGCAGAGTCGGAAAGGGACGTCCTAGGCGAAAATTTATCGATCAAATTGGCGATTTATTGAAAATGGGCCAAATTAATATAATAGTTTATTTCTCTTGTTATTTACAATTTGCATAGGGAGGGAGCTCAGTACCAAGGCACTTACGCTTAACCGACGAGCATGTATGCGTAGGTGTATGGATGTGAAGGAGGCGAGAAGAGGTGTGTCAGGATCGTGCCAAATGGAAGTCTGTAGTCTCTGCCTACCCCTCTGGGTGACAGGCATGAGTGTTTATGTATGTATGTATGTTAATTGCTTACCTTGAACAGGGACCACAAGCAAAAATACACCGAATAGTCCAACGTATGGTGCAAACCCAGCAGTATAATATAACAATATTAGTACGGCAGTCAACTGTATTGGGACTAGCCAAAGGTAATGAAGAAACATAAATGCAAAATCAAATCTGGCAACATCGTTCGATAAAAGATTCACTAATTTTCCGGCTGCAACTTCTCCCAATGAGGCTTGACTCATACGTAAAACCTAGAAAAAACAGGTCTTTATTATTCGACAGATCATTATGAGACATGTATAATATTAAATTGGATTTGTTGTTAATAAGTCCAATCATTATTCTGCAGAAAACTTATTCCTTAACACTTAATTAAAGTCAAATTGGTTTACATTTTTTCTTTTTTTAAGGATAAAGTGTCATTATGAAGCTATGATTTCTTGGTATCACTTTGTAAGAGATGGTATTCAATTACTGTAGAGGTAAATAAAAAAAATTCACTTGATTACTTTATTTAAGATGCCGTATGAATTTTACCTTGTATAACTTTTCATACTTTTGATTGAGTTGTTAGATATGTCTTTAGAATATTGAACAATAATATATTAAGGCTTCTTTTGGGATGTAAATCTAACAAGTATTTAGTAAAAATTTCAATAAGCGAAGCAGGTATAAACGCTGATGTTCCGCAAGCCTGCGTGCTTTCACCAACGCTGTTCCTTCTGCATACCACTGATATGTCGCAAACCGGTAACATTCATTGCTATGCAGACGACAGCACTGGTGACGCCTTATACACCGGCCGTGCCAATATTTCTCGGGAAAATATTGCCGAGTACCAGGACAAACTTGTGTCTGAAGCCGAGTCTTGCTGAACAAAGTCTTGGATTGGGGGCGACTAAATCTATTCCAGTTCAATCCCCAGCAGACACAAGTTTTCGCGTTTACCGCTAAAAAACCCTTTATCGTATATCCTTAGTTTCCAGGCACTCCCCTTGCTGCCTCAGATAGTATCGGAATTCTCGGTGTCAACATATCGAGCTTAGCGTGCTCAGCAGAGCGGGACAGTATTTCATGCCGGCACACCGCTTGCAACTTTATAAAGCACAAGTTCAGCGTCACATGGAATACTGTTCTTATCTCCGGGCCGCGGCACCGCAGTGCTAGCTTCTTCCACTTGACCGCATCCAGGGCAGAATGGCTCGAACCGTCAACGGCCGAGTTCTTTCTGATCAGCTCTATTCACTGGCGCTGCGTAGGGTTATTGCATTTTCTATCGCCTCTACAACTAAATTTCATGAACGCACATCGCGTCGAAATTCAAGATACCATCCTCACCATCTGTATGCTTGATGCTCCACCACCGTGCGTTTTACTAGGAGTTTTCTTCCTCGTACAACTTTTCTGTGGAATTGTTTACCACCGGCGATTTTTTTAGACCGATACGACTTAGGGACCTTCAAGAAAAGAGCTTACTCCTTTTAAAGTTTCTGTCGCCCCATTTTATTGTACCTCGGACAGCGAGTGTTTAACATTAGTATAAAATGTAATTAATATTAAATACCTTTCTATATATCAGTGAAGAAACTGCTACTTTTACCCTTAAACTGAAGCCATTGACGAATAAAGCATTATGATGCTGACAGAGAACGCCAAGGAAATTGAGGCATATCATCGCAATAGCATAGTATCCAGCTTCTTCAACACTTATCGTTGAATCGGCAGACCAGTATGATAATAATTGAGTAAATAATAACGGCTGAATGGTCCTGTGCGTCAGAAAAACAATAAAATTTATTTAATAAACTAAAAACTAAATTTATAATAAAGTTGTAGCCTATATGCGTCCCATTGCTGGACACCGACCTCCTCTCATTTCTGAGAGGGTTTAAGGAAAAATAAATGTCCACCGCGCTGCTCCAATGCGTGTTGGTGAACTTCACATGTATTCGAATTTTTTTCATATTTTTCAGCCATGAAGGTTTCCTTCTCCGCCGAGCACGTGATAAATCAGCACTTAAAATTGATTAACTATTTCATTGGTGCCGGGTTGTTCATCATGATCATCATCATCATCCTCATTACAGTACTTTAAAATTTACAGCGGGCGCTTATACCCTGAGCTACCACGGCCCTTATATAAACCAATATTTTAAATGAATTATTTATATTGATAATATAATTATTTATTAAATAGACAGCGATAACATTGAGTGAAATCGTTAGACAGCGATAAGATAAAAACCTAAAACGTACCTTGTAGCAGTATTCACAAGGAGAAGTAATGCTCCAGGCATATATGCTAACCAGAAAGTACGTAGTAATGCCTTCCATAGTGATGGTTTTCTACTGTTCTGGACTGCATTTTCATATTCCTCTAACCAGTATCTAAAAATAAAAAAGTTATTTTGTCCTTCGTCAAATTCAATATCAATCATGTTTTAAATAATAACACTATGGAAAATACTAACGTGTAACAAATAGTTTCATAGTTTATCATACTCAAGCAGCTTCGTTACCTGCTCATATCAGTATTACATGTATCCATAATAAGCACACCCTTTTAAATTTAAAATTTACTAAGGCTTTCTGTCTTAAGAAAGTAATAATAAATTCTGAGTTGCAGAGTTGAACTCTGAATTTAATATTACTTTCTTAAGCATTAAAATCAGTACCAAATTGGTATTGATTTTAATTTTACTCCTTCATTACTTCTTTGTGAAGTAACTGCTACTCAATAAATAATTCTAAATAATAAATACAAACAATATTGTTGATTAAATTTTGAACAAAATGATAAAGAGCGAACTTAATTCAAAGTTAAAAGCAATTACTTTTTTACTTGTATACTTACTATAAATCATGAATTAATGAGGTCCATTACAATAACAAGGTAAAATATAATTTTACTATTGGATAATATTTCTGAACGACCTTTAATAGGAATCAATATAACGCAACCGGAAAATTAGAATCATATCTACCTTTTAAGTAATTGATTAAAACTACTTTTACGGATTTTATCGCGTTTAATTTTAATTATTTTTAATTCCCGGCGTTTCGGGTGCTTTCCAGCACCCATGGTCACGGGGGACTGAGATGACTGACGTCCCGATGTCATTGTTAAACCCGGAGTACCTTCAGCTTTGTTAAATATTTTTTATGGTCCGATCAATGTGTAGTGTTCGCGTAAATATAAGAAATCATTACATATAAAAGTAACTTTTTTTATATAGGAGAGGGGGCAAACGAGCATGCGGCTCACCTGATGTTAAGTGACTACCGCCGCCCATGATCAACTGCAACACCGGGGGAATTGCAGGTGCGGTGCCAGCCTTTTGGAAAGAGTAAGCTCTTTTCTTGAAGGTCCCTAGGCCGTATCAGTCCGGAGAAATCGCCGGTGGTAAACTATTCCACAGAGAGGTCGTACGCGGAAGAAAACTATTAGTGAAACGTACAGTGTTGAACCGCCAAACATTCAGATGGTGTGGATGGTATCATGCGGTTTGCCGTGTAGTGCATTCATGAAAATTGGCGGCTTGGATTTACTTCAAAAAATATTCTTCGTCTTGGCCTGAAAAATGCTCAATACAGCGAACTTGAGCTAATTATCATCAGCAAATCGCTTCCTCCGAAGGTCTTTTTTAAGTTTGGGAATCAAAAGTACTCACTAGGGGCTAGGTCGGAGCTGAATGGTGGGTGGTTAATTTCCTCTAATCCGCAGTCTTGTACAGCAGCATTGGTGAGCCGCACTGTATGAACCGATGCGTTGTCATGAACAAGCAGTACTCCCATGACTAGTTTTCCTCTTCTCTTTTCTTTTATTGCTTCACTCAAACGGCGTTAAGTGGCTGAGTATTTATCTGTGTTGATGGTTTCAGCTTTCTTCGTGTACTTGATCAATAGTATTCCTTTGGAATCCGAAAACACTGTGGCAATTATTTTTCCGACTTTGAACTTCTTGGGAGTTCTGATACCCTTTTATGCCATTTGCACAAACTCCCGTTTACTCTCAGGGTCATAGTGGTCAACCAACGTTTCGTATCATAGATAGAATCATCTAACACTGTTCTATCGAAAATAATTGTTAGGTCGCCACTACACAGCTCAAAACTCCCTACAATAGTCTACCCGCGTCTGCTTTTATGTAGTGACCATTCGCGGCACCCATCTTGCACTGACTTTTGTGAGGTTAAGTAGTCGTGCAATATGGTGTGTATGGTACAAACGGATAGGTAAGTCATTTCTGCTAACATCTTAATTCTTACTCGTGCATCTTCTAATACAAGTTTTTCAATATTTTTCACATTTTCTTTTGTAGCTGTGATTGGCCCACAGGTGCGGGGGTCACCTTCGATGCTTTCCCTGCCTCTTTTGAATTCACTTGACCACTTCTGTAGACATGTTCTGTAGACATGTATGACATTGCTCCTGCATTGTCAACCCTACAGGAGTCTTGTTAAACGGCCACTATTTCTACCCGGATGCTTTTTTTCTTATAGAATAAGGGTGACAAACGAGCACACAGTCCACCTGATGGTAAGTGGACGCTGCGGCCCATAGACATCTACATTTATCCTCGATTAAGAATTAAAACTCAGATGCGTTGCCACCCTTGAGGACTATGATGGAATTCCTCGTTTCCAGTAAAAAATTGTCTCCGGATCTCTACACTCACCATACGAAACACAGCAGTTTTAAGCTGCTATTTTACGCAGGTATTCTGTAAGAGCGTGGTCCTACCCCGGTCGAGCCGATCCATTCGTGCTACAACCATAATATAGCTGCAACGTGGTTCTACCACGTATGAAACACGTTTTTTTTTGAGTTTTTTTCTTGTTTAGTGAGGAATTTAATCACCGCACGAGTCAGTCATTCCCTTCGTCTAAGACTGAAGGTTACATAAGAAGTAATGAAGTTATCGAGATGAAATTTCATATTTATACCCTCAGGCAATTAGCCCTCAATAGCAAATTACCATTAAACCGAGAATAAACTGAAGGCCCTTCGTAGGAGACTAATGGCATGCGGCGAGGAGATACCGTACATATGTGTGTTATATCTCTAAAGATGGTACCACACCAATCGAGCGACGTCAATCGACGATTAATCGTTGTAGTTGTGGGCTCATCATCAGTATCTTTAAAAAAGTATTCAGAAGAAGACAATAGAGAGCGTTGGTGGAGTGCGGTGGGTTCATCAAGCAGTTCGATCGAAGTCAAATCCATTCTACCATCGATCGATCGGTGTGGTAGAAACTATCGATCGGCATCGACTAATCCATCACCATTGATCGATGATATCGATCAACGATTGATAGATTTTTTTTTTTTTTTTTTTTTTATAGAAGAGGGGGCAAACGAGCATGTGGCTCACCTGATGTTAAGTGACTACCGCCGCCCATGATCAACCGCAACACCAGGGGAATTGCAGGTGCGTTGCCGGCCCTTTAGAAAGGAGTAAGCTCTTTTCTTGAAGGTCCCCAGGTCGTATCGGTCCGGAAAAATCACCGGTGGTAAATTATTCCACATAGAGGTTGTACGCGGAAGAAAACTCCTTTTGAAACGTACAGTGGTGGACCGCCAAGCATCCAGATGGTGTGGATGGTATCGGGACGTTTGCCGTGTAGTGCGTTCACGAAATTTGGCGGCTGGGATTAATCCGAACAATTCCTCAGAGCACTCCCCGTGATAGATGCGATAAAATACGCAAAGAGATGCAACATCTCTTCGCAGCGCCAGTGAATCGAGCCGATCGGAAAGCACTCGGTCGTCGACGATTCGAGCCGCTCTGCGTTGGATGCGGTCAAGTGGAAGGAGCTGGTACTGGGGAGCCCCAGCCCAGAGATGGGAACAGTATTCCATGAGCGGCCGAACCTGCGCCTTGTAAAGTTGCAGGCGGTGTGCCGGCATGAAATACTGTCCCGCTCTGCTGAGCACGCCAAGCTTTTTAGAGGCCAATTTGGCCTTCCCTTCCAAGTGACCACGAAACTGCACGTCACTCGATATGTCGACGCCGAGGATTCCGATACTGGCTGAGGCAACAAGGGGAGTGCCTTGAAACTGAGGGGATACGACAAAGGGGTTCTTTTTAGCGGTTAACGCGCAAACTTGTGTCTTCTGGGGGTTAAACTGGACTAGATTTAGTCGCCCCCAATCCGAGACTCTGTCCAGCAGAGACTCGACTTCAGACACAAGTTTGTCCCGGCACTCAGAGACGTTTTCCCGAGAAATATTTGCTCGGCCGGTGTAAAGAGCATCACCAGTGCTGTCATCTGCATAGCAATGAATGCTACGGGTTTGCAACATATCATTGATATGCAGAAGAAACAGCGTTGGCGATAGCACGCAGCCCTGTGGAACACCAGCATTAATAAGCTTGCAATCGGAGCTTGCACCGTCTACAACGACCTTGATGCTCCGATCTGCAAGAAAACTGGTGATCCAATCGCACAATTTCTCGGGAAGCCCATAGGAAGGGAGCTTCGAAAGAAGCGCTTTGTGCCAAACCCGATCGAAGGCCTTCGCAATGTCCAAACTAACGGCCAATGCCTCCCCCTTGGACTCTACTGCCTCCGCCCATCTGTGAGTTAGGTAGACCAGAAGATCACCAGCTGACCTACCACGGCGAAAACCGTATTGGCGGTCACTAATCAGCTGGTGATCCTCAAGGTACCTCATGAGCTGGCAGTTTACAATGGACTCCATTGTTTTGGAGAACAAGGAGGTGATGGCGATAGGCCGGTAGTTAGACGGGTCTGAGCGGTCGCCTTTTTTAGGGATCGGGTGGACGAAAGCCGTCTTCCATGATTTTGGGACTACGCCTAGGGAGTAGAAGTACCGGAAAAGACGCGTTAAAACCGGTGCCAACTCTGGAGCACACGTCCTCAGCACAATTGGGGGGATTCCATCAGGCCCACTCGACTTATGGATGTCCAGGGAGAGGAGTGCTTTGCGAACCGAGCGCTGAGTGAAGTGCACTTCCGGCATGGAGCACTCACACCGCGGGATGGTCGGCGGCGTACTCCCCCCGTCATCGAGAGTCGAGTTAGACGCAAAGAAAGAGCCTAGAAGATCGGCTTTCTCCTTTGCGGTGTGGGCCAGTGAGTCGTCCTCCCTGTGCAGAGATGGAAGAGATGGCTGACAGAAATTCCCCTGGACAGCCTTGGCGAGAGACCAGAATGCACGGGTTCCAGAAGGAAGACGAACTAGTCTCTCGCCAATTCTGCCTATGTGCTCTGACTTTGCCTTGGCAATGACTCTTTTGAAGGACCTAGAGGCGGAATTATACTTCTTTTTTAGAGCGCTGGTGTTTACATCCCTGGACGCTGATGCGTCAGCCCAGGCTTGGTAGCACTCCTGCTTATAGCATGATGCTACTTTACAGGA